AATATTAGTCAACACTAAGCTTAACATTACGAACAGTACATTTATCATTAAACTATTCTGTTTGTCCCTAGATGGAAGCACTATGAAATAATGGGTTTTTAACCCAACAGTTGTAACCTTAGACCATGAAAGTACATCGACAGTTGATATATTAGGCTTTGGGAATGGAATCTAAGTTGGTTATATACAAATATAAGTAGACAAAGCTTGTTATATATTAGTTTTAAACCTTATATAAAATTAAATACGATTGTAGCGACAAGTTTGTTCGTTTTTTTTCGTAATGAAAACTCGATCATTGTTTAAGATTACCTGTTCATGCGTAATCAAATTTCTACAGAACAGTATTGAAGGAGAACATGGTATAAATATGATGTCTTTATGGAAAGTTAACGACCTGCAACAAATTCACACGAAATTTTGTTTTCGTTACAAAACAAAGTCCAAGTTTAAATATAGTTTGAAAAACAAACAAACAATTTTTGGATAATATGTACAGATATATGAATATACATATATTACTCTTGCAAGGCTAACAGCATCCGACATCAGGGTGGAAACTACAAAGGCAATTTTAAAGTTATTCTACGTTATGGTAACAGTGTAGTTACATAAATGTACTTACGTTGTATATATTTACAAAATATTAATTTTAACTCTGGTATTTATCTATAGTTGCTGGGATTCTTCTACTTTATTTTCTAGCCTGCAGGGGAAAAAAAAGAGAAAAAAAAAGATGTTAAATGCAAAACAAATGAACAAGTTTTTAAATTTTAAAATAAATTAATATTCATATGTTTAAAAACGTTTCATATTTAATTACAGAGATCTAATATACTTATATATATATATATTGTTTGTGGATAAGAAGAAAACTACACAATGGGCTATCAGTTTGTTTGTAATTAAGCACAAAGCTACACAATAGGCTATCTGTGCTGTACCCACTACGAGTATACAAACCCAGCTTTTAGCGATGCGAACCCTCAGACTTACTGCTAAGCCACTGGTGGGCATATTATTAATTAATGATACAAATATAATAAACATAATAATAGAATAAATATAAGATAATCAGTGTCAACGTACTGGCACGGTCTGGTAGCCAGGGGGCGCTATACCCGCAGTATTGGAGTAACAGGATTAAAATTCGTTACTAAAAAAATACTTGCCCTTTCAGCCATGGGGACGTTATTATGTGAAGGTCAATTCTACTAGTCGTTGATAAAGAGTAACCCAAGAGTTGGCGGTGGGTGGAGTTGAGTAGATGCCTTAAGGACGGCTATTGGATATAATCCTCGAGCAGTTTGGCGCAAAATTCAACGAATAAAACCAATATTTATTAACATCGTGTATAATTTTATGATATTCATTACTAAAATGTTCATATTAATTCCGGAGTACTTCATATTATTTAAATCTTTATACTATAATAACCATAACAATCCTTAAGAGTTCGTTAATAAGCTTGTAGATCAGATATGATAATTGTATAGCGTTGTTTAAACATGTGTTTAACAAGTGAAAGCTTGGAATGGTCTATTCTTTCATTGGGTATGTGTCTGTGAACCAGACTAGTTTCGGATAATTCCACTCACAAAAAAGAAACATATCATTCTATAGGTATTTGAAGAACTTGTAGCATTCAGCCACAATTTAATTCTTTGTATTGTTATCTGACACTGGGCAGCTGGTACGTAACTGAATGTTACATATATTATACACACGTATATATATATATATTATGAAGAATACCTATAGAATGATAGGTTTCTTTTTTGTGAGTGTAAAACATTTAAATACACCATTTCGAGATATGATAATTGTAAAATATTAATCATTAATGTCACGTATGAAGTAATTATTCACAATTAAACAGTTATACTGTTGTTTTTTGTTCAGAATGTTGAAAAGCATGAAAACTACCCATTAGAATTCTGCGTAATTTTATGATGTTTTTAAACCTTTAATTTTAATTAAATTTACAGAAAAGTTCCAGCAAATAATCCACGTGAAGTGTTTATTTATATTACGTTATTAATAATTAACTTATTCAGTTCTGTATTTTTTGACAGTCGGTTGTTCAATATATGGAATTTAGTAGATAATAAAGTATATTTGTTATGTGGCGGCATCTAGTGTCAGTAAACACATTTAAAGTAAAATATAATTATGATCGTTTGTTAAATTTCGCGCAATGCAACTCGAGGGTTGTCTTCGCTATTCGTCCCTAATTTGAAACGTGATAGACTAAAGAGAAGGCAGCTAGTTAATACCACCCACCGCCAATTCTTGAACTACTCTAGTCGAATAATAGAATTGACCGTAAAGTTATAAAACCTCCACAGCTGAAAGTACGAGCATGTTCCGCGACAAGTTTCGATCTCACAACCTGATCACAAGGCCACTACAAAAGAAGAAAAAAAAGTAACTTACCACAATTTCTACTGCTCTAATTCTATCACAAACTTTTCTTCAATCATCAATTTAAAACAACCATCTTTCAGATGTTTAGTTTACTTACAGGATATGATAATGCAAACATTGCTTGTTTTTAGGCCTAGACATCTCGAGAAGCTTGGTTACTTATAAAGCTTTATTGTAACAACAACAAAAAAAGACTTATGAAGTTGTCGTTTTATAAAAAAAAATCAGATGCTACAAAAGTTGAAAATACACATGTTGTTGATTCAAATACGATACAATTACAATAGCGAGAAATTAATTTAGTGTAATCAGTGCGAGTTTGCACTGCGACGGTATTGGTCTATTAGTCATTACGTAAGCACTTACCATTGGACTATCGGCTCTTTATTACTACTTCGAATGCTTTATGATAGTGATGATGACGAACCGAAACGTCTTTCAAAACGCTTTTAATCTAGCAGTTTGATAACGTCTATTCACAAAGGTTTTCATCCAGTTTCTAATAACGCTCCCAACGAAGCGTTATTTGTAAATAGAACAACTTCCTCGACCAGTTTGAGATTGCTTGTAATTAACAGTTTCATACCTTTTTATAGCCAGCGCGGATTAAACCAGAACACGATAATTTTTGATGTACCAAAGAAGAAATTGACACTGTTCTTACAGTTGTATAATATGAAAGAAAATACTTCAAAGGAGTTATCCACAAATACAATTTAATTATATCTCTTAGCCAAAAAATAGACGACGAACCAAGTCTCCTCTTGAGAAAGAAATTCCTCTGTAGTATATACATCTCTAGATAAATCCAAGTTGTAAACTCGAGTGCATTAGATCCACCGCTAGGGGGCTTCAGCATGGATACAAAAAACATTAGCAAACACATGGAGTGCGGTGATTGGTTTGTGTTGCTTTGAATTTCGCGCAAAGCTACCCGAGGGCTATCTGCGATAGTTGTCCCTAACTTGCAAATGATAGACCATAGGGAAGGCGGCTAGCTAACACCACCAACTGTTGGGCTACTCTTTTATCACGAAGAGTAGGATTGATCGTTACATTATAATGTCCCCGCGGCTGAATGGGCGAGCACGTTCGGCGACGGGGAGTCGAACTCGTGACCCGCAGATTGAGAGTCGAATGCCATAACTACCAGCCCGAGTGCAGTAATATTCAGATATCCAAACAGCAGTTCAACGTTGTTTTGAATAATGCGTGTAACAATAGAACGTAGTTAATATATTTGTTT